TAGTGCTGGTGGTGCTGTTGGAGGGGGTGCTGGAGGAGGTGCCGGAGGTGGAGTTGGCGATGGAGGTGGTGGTGTTGGTGGTGTTATTGGAGGTGGTGTCGGAGGAGGTGTTGGTGGCGCTGTTGGAGGTGGTGGAGTTGGTTTAGGTGGTGGGGGCGGTCTTGTTGGTGGTGGAGGAGGAGGACTTGGCGGTGGTGTTGGAGGTGGAGCAAATGTTGGTGTAGGAGTTGGAGCCGGGGGTGGTGCAGGCGGAGGAGTTGGAGCCGGAGGCGGTGCAGGAGGAGGAGCTGGTGGTGGCGGTAGCGTTGGAAACCGACGGCACTAAATCAAAAACGGCAGTGACCGTTAACAATTTAGTACTCCATGCACGTTACCTCTTTAGTAGCTTGCATGCACGCTCGTTGTTATCACTTTTATCATATTCTCCTTGTACTAATATATAATAATTAATAAAACTCTTTCCAAAGATTGATATAACTAAACTAATGATCAAAAAAGATATACTTCAAATCAATGGCAATCGATGTCGTTGTTTTTTTTTATTCGTCAAATGATATCATTATATTATATGGTTAGAAAAGTCGCTATGAAACGCGTTTGTTATTACATGAGGAACGAAATTATGAAAAACGAAACATGAATGAGAAGGAATCGAATGTTTGGCTAAAATATCCGCAGGATTGTTTATTTCCTCGGCGACACCATGTGAAGTGACAATCTTCAAATCTTGTCTTCCATCGTCGTGCTTCCCTCAACCAATTGAAAACGTCAAAATTGAGCTTCTGTCCACTCAAGTCCACCACTTCTTTATTGTCACCTTCAAAACAGACCCTAGTATAACCCTTACTCCAACAATGCTGCATGGCCATGATTAAGGCTTGAAATTCACTCTCAACGACATTCCTTGTTTGATTTCCTTTAGCTTGACCCGCTCCCAGATAAGTGCCTTTATCGTTTCTTATAACCCAACCTGCTTGAGAAATCCTTCTAGCTGAAAAAGTGTCATCATAATTACATTTGATCCACTGTTGGTTTGGTCTTTCCCATCTCGATTCGGATCGTGCTTCAGAAGTGTTGTGCATTCGTGGCCCTCGAGTGTCTTATCGTTCTTGATCATGCCATTCTTGAGCATCTTCCTTCGCCTGTCTTAAGATCTTCCTCCATGATGTTGATCTTCTTTGAAAACAGAGTATATTGCGGCTTATCCATAATCTCCATAAAATCCACAAAGGAAAATGTCGGAGATGTGGAAAGCGCGTTGATGTGTTGCAAGTCATAATGGCCTTTATCTTCTTTTCCAAAGGAATTTTTGGATCTGTAATTGAAGATAGTGGAAATCCAGACCCTCGCCATACCGCCTGCGCTATGACACAATCAAAGAACAAGTGACTTGTTGTTTCCTCATTGGAGCAACAATAGCAACAAAGAGGTTGATTACTCATATGTCGATAAACTAGATTTGCTTTAGTAGCTAAAGCACCGGAGAGAAGTTTCCATAAGAAATGCTTTAACTTCGGAGCCGTGTTGATACGCCACACTTGAGCTTTAAGATCATTATCACCCGGAGTAGGCCGGACCTGTTGATCGCTTGGGAGGTGAGTCGCCAACCAGTAAGCATACTTCACGGTGTATATAACCTCTTTTGTGTAATGCCAACCCAATAGATCCTTCTCTGCCCCTGGACAAATCTTAATTGACAAAACTTTGTCTACATCTTCATGGTGAATCCACGCATTGACTCTGTTTGTATCCCAGCCCGTGTTTCTACTATTCAAAAGATCACTCACCATCTTTGGACCTATTGATTCTGATGCTGTCCTCGGCACCCGAGGAGGATGACAAGGTAACCACGGGTCTATCCAAGCATTTATTAGAGATCCATCACCAATACAAAACCTGAGTCCTTTTTTAACCAACTCCCGACCTTGTAGAATCGACTTCCAGTGGAACGATGCTTTCTTACCTTGACCTGCATTTAAAATATTTGAATCTAGGAAGTATCTACCCTTGAGAACTCTCGCCATAAGACATTCTGGGTGCTGCATAATCCCACACTTGTTTACCAAGAAGCGCCAAGTTGAATTTTTCGAGTTCTTTGAATCCTAAACCTCCTTCTTTTTTTGGATGACTTAATCTGTTCCAAGCAAACCAGTGAATACCCCTTTTGTCCTCACCCGAGCTCCACCAGAATCTTGCTAATAACCCATCGATTTCGTCACATATTTCTTTTGGAAGCTTAAAGAGATTCATAGTGTAAACTGGCATCGCCAAAGCTATTGCCTTCAAAAGGACTTCTTTGCCTCCCTGTGAGAGATACTTCTTACTCCAACCTTGAGTTTTATCCTTAACCTTTTCCACGATGTATTGAAAGAGATCCGCTTTCTTTTTATCAAATTGTTCTGGTAACCCAAGTACTTACCTCCTCCACCTTCATTGTGAATGTTTAGAAGATTGCGGATTCGCCTCTTTGTGTCTGGTTTTACATGATGCCCAAATGTGATGGCCGATTTCCGGAGATTGACCGCTTGTCCAGACACTTCTTCGTACTTACTCAAAATACTCTTAATCATTTGGCATGAATATTGGTTTGCAAGGGTAAAAAATAAGGAATCATTGGCAAAGAGGAGATGAGAGACTGCGGGAGCTTGTTGACTAACTTTGATGCCTTGGATCTTTTTGTTCTTCTCTGCTTGCTTCATCATATGGGACAACACTTCTGCGCATAATATAAAGAGATATGGAGAAAGTGGATCACCTTGGCGAATGCCTCTGGTCGGAGTGATATTACCGTGTGGAGTTCCATTGATCAAAACCGAATACTGAACCGTTGATGCAGAAATGAGGTAAACATCACTATTCCCTTTTTTTTTTTTGAAGTCGCTAAATTTCGTCAACAAACAATGATAACATGGGTTTTTTTATAAGACCACATACAATGGTCAGTTGAAAAAAAAAAATTCAACAGTTTAATCACTACAATGAGAGTGTTGAAATTAAAGAAGAGTACACATGATAAATAATGTGTTGAATTTAATAAAAAAAATATGGGTCATGCGCTGCCACATGTCAGTGTATGAGAAGACCGAATTTCTGTGTGTGGTCCACGCAGATAAAGAAAATAAACTTGCTCATTTTTATTTATCCTAATAATTGATCTCAATTATTTGATAGAAATCTACTTTGAAAATAAATAAGGGAAGGTCAATTTACTCGGGAGATAAAAGAACCACCACTGTTATTATAGAAGCGGTTGCATCTCATGATCTATGGATCTGGCATGCTTTTTTGGTGTCCGGACACATTGAACGATATCAACGTTCTCGATCGTTCGCCAGTGTTCGATGATGTTGAACATGGAAATACTCCAAGAGTGAACTTCTTTGTGAACCAACGTCCATATAATATGGCATACTATCTAGCTGATGATATCTATCCTTCTTATCCGACTTTCGTCAAATCAATAAGAATTCCTCAGAGTGAACCAGCCAAGTTATTTGCAAAACATCAAGAAGGATGCCGGAAGGACATCGAAGGTGCATTTGGAGTTTTGCAGGCTCGATTTAAAATCGTTCGTGAACCGGCTCGCATGTGGGACATAGACGAGTTGGTTATCATTATGAGGTCATGTATTATATTACATAATATGATTGTTGAGGATGAAAGAGATACATATTATGAGGTCATCGCATGTGTGTTTATTAGTTGTGTTGTGTGTTTATCAGTGTATTGTATTAAATTTCAAAAATTTTGTAATTTTATTTGTTTTATAATGATTATTTTTTGTTTTTATTATTTGCAAAAGAAATTTATTTATTTATTTATTTTTATATTATTTTAATTTATTTTTAATAGATAATTGTTATTAATATGTCATTAGAAAACAATAAAAAATGAAATTAAAATATGGTGGGGTAAGGTGTTGAATTTTATTAAACAAAACTAGATGATAAAAATTGAATGAGTGTTGAAGTATTAGGTGGAAGAAAGAGAAAATAATGTGAAGTGTTAAAAAATAAAAAATATGGTGTTGAATGTTGAAACCATTGTGGATGGCCTTAACCAACATATTTCCAATGATTGTGACAACATATTTCTAAGACCATCATCTCCAACCATAAGCTCTTCTAAAAAGCTTTTTAACAAAGAAAAAATGACTATTTTATTATAATTTTATTATGTAATTAAAATTTAATTTTAGAAAAGAAAGTGAACATATGTATGAGAGGCATGTGGCTTATTAGTGGCTTAAAGCATCTCCATCAAAGATGTATTGAAGAGACATTTATTAATAAAAAATTATAAAAAGAAGAGAGAGAAGAGACATTTTGAGAAACTGTTTCTCTGCACAAACATTTTGAAAAACTGTTTCTCTGATGTCATGCCACATGTAATAGTTCTAATGGTCCAATTAATAAAAAAAAAAAGAAAAAAAAAATTACAATCTTAAAATAATAATTTTTTTTTTTGAGAAACTTTGGGGGTTTCTATCTTACGGAGATGCTCTTAGTGGCTTTTAATAACTATTAAGAGCTCTTCTTCATTCTCTTAGACCATCTTTATCGGTACATCTGTACCAATGATCTTATGAATAAAAAAATAGAAATTAATAAAAAATGGGTCAAGAGCATATAGAACAGGTCTCAGACAAGATCTGTTCTTTCGGAGGTCTTGCGCCAGGTGGCGAAAGGTAAGTGGGTAACAATTTTTTAAAAAACCAAAAATGTTTTCATATCTCACTCTCTCTCCACCTATCATCATATTCTCTCTATCTTTCTCTCTCTCTTACCTTATTATAATACTATTATAATTATCATAATATCTATCTTTAAAGATATATCCATAAATATGCCCTTATATAAGAGCCATTCTTCATTCTCTTTCTTCTTTTTTCAATATTTTTATTTTTTTATTAATTTTTTTAAGAATTCCACACATTTTAGAACCTCTCATTGAGGATGGTCTAAATAATTAACCATGATATATGTAAAGCCACTAACAACAAACCAATTAATGAAACAAAGTTTAGAGCTTATGCAAGCTTCCTTCTTTAGTTGATCGGACCTCTTAATACTAGTTACTTCATAGTCTTGCTTGCTTTCAACCTCTTGCTATTGCATATTATCTTGGTCCCCATATGATTCGTCCTCTTTTGTAATCAGGCTCAATCAAACCTTACCTAGAAAAAACTACAAGAACCGAATTTAGATCTAACGTAAAATCACACATACGTTATTCTGTTCCTGGTGTATTCTTCACGATAATATAAGTAAATCATGTCTATTATAATTATAGGGTATTATTTAAAAGTACCAATTCCTATCTACTTTGAATATAGGATATACATACAGTATATAATCAACCCGTTCCAAGGGGTGATTCGAGCCATCGATTGAGGCATACTTTTATAACAAATACTTTCTCGCAATCAGAGGAAGTTCAATCCGGAATTCGGTTTTCTCTATAAAATATTTCAACTTTAAAGGAATAGTAAATTAGCAATTAGTGAAATTGAAGCTACTATAAATCCGTTATGTTGTTTGGTGATGGTTTAGATTAGTTTTTTCAGTCATAATTTTCTATTACAAAAAGAAATAAGTTTGACGAAAAAGAAAAAAAAAACAGAATTAAGTTTTGCTTTTGTTTTTTCTTTCAAATTTTGATTCGGTTTAAAATTCAATTTAGGGTTTTAAATATTTAGAATATAAAACTAACTTTTTCTAATATAAATGCTTTGACTAAAAGTGGAGTATCTCACATTCATCATATCGACATAATTTTTCTTTGTTTCTCGTATTCCTAGCTATGATATAAAATCATGTCTATATATTATCGGGCTAAAAAGTACCAATTCTCGGGATAGCATGCTTCAACGATTAAAGATATACAAGAAACTATTAGGAGATGATGGATCTCCTGTACTAGCGACAGAGTACATGAAGTGATGCACAAGAATACAACTTTCTTGTAAATATGGAAACTGTTTTAGGGTTAGAATCATTATATTTATAGAGTACTAACTATTACAGGACTAACTATTATTTCTCCATTGTACACGTTACCTCACTTCACTAATCTGGTCCGATCACCCCTACTAATTAATAGTTCAAAAGGCTAAATTCTGTTGAAATAGCTAGAAAAAAATTATCTCGAGGAGACGTGATGAATTTTGTCGACTACAGTGCGCTTCGACTACAGTGTGTTTCGACTACAGTGTGTACAGTGTAGAGTGTAGTGTGTGTTTCGTGTTTCGACTACACGCACTGCAGTGCATCGACTACAGGGATTTAGGGTAAAGTGTGTAAAGTGCTTCGACTACAGTGCTTTACTTCGACTACAATGCTCCTTCGGCTACGGTGCTGCTTCAGCTACGATGCTGCCTTGCTGCTTGTGCTGCCTTGCTGCTTGTGCTGCCTTGCTGCTTGTGCTGCTTCGGCCACGGTGTGCTGCTTCGGTTGCTTCGGCCACGGTGCTGCTTCAGCTGCGGTGCTGCTTCGGCCACACGGTGCTGCTTCGGCCACACGGTGCTGCTTCGGCCACACGGTGCTGCACGGTGCTGCTTCGGCCGCTTCGGCCGGCCACACGGTGTTGCTGTTTCGGCCACGCTTCGGCCACACGGTGCTGCTGCGGCCACACGGTGCTGCCACACGGTGCTGCTTCGGCCACACGGTGCTGCACGGTGCTGCTTCGGCCGCTTCGGCCGGCCACACGGTGCTGCTGCTTCGACCACGCTTCGGCCACACGGTGCTGCTGCGGCCCACACGGTGTGGCTGCGGGCGGCCACACGGTGCTGCGGCTACGGTGCTGCGGCCTGCTACGGTGCTGCGGCCTGCTACGGTGCTGCGGCCTGCTACGGTGCTGCTGCTGCGGCTACGGTACGGTGCTGCGGCCTGCTACGGTGCTGCTGCTGCGGCTACGGTACGGTGCTGCGGCTACGGTGCTGCTGCGGCTACGGTGCTGCTGCGGCTACGGTGCTGCTGCGGCTACGGTGCTGCTGCGGCTACGGTGCTGCTGCGGCTACGGTGCTGCTGCGGCTACGGTGCTGCTGCGGCTACGGTGCTGCTGCGGCTACGGTGCTGCTGCGGCTACGGTGCTGCTGCGGCTACGGTGCTGCTGCGGCTACGGTGCTGCTGCGGCTACGGTGCTGCTGCGGCTACGGTGCTGCTGCGGCTACGGCGGTGCTGCGGCTACGGCGGTGCTGCGGCTACGGCGGTGCTGCTGCGGCTACGGCGGTGCTGCTGCGGCTACGGCGGTGCTGCTGCGGCTACGGTGCTGCTGCGGCTACGGTGCTGCTGCGGCTACGGTGCTGCTGCGGCTACGGTGCTGCTGCGGCTACGGTGCTGCTGCGGCTACGGTGCTGCTGCGGCTACGGTGCTGCTGCGGCTACGGTGCTGCTGCGGCTACGGTGCTGCTGCGGCTACGGTGCTGCTGCGGCTACGGTGCTGCTGCGGCTACGGTGCTGCTGCGGCTACGGTGCTGCTGCGGCTACGGTGCTGCTGCGGCTACGGTGCTGCTGCGGCTACGGTGCGGCTGCGGCTACGGTGCGGCTGCGGCTACGGTGCGGCTGCGGCTACGGTGCTGCTGCGGCTACGGTGCTGCTGCGGCTACGGTGCTGCTGCGGCTACGGTGCTGCTGCGGCTACGGTGCTGCTGCGGCTACGGTGCGGGCTACGGTGCTGCTGCGGCTACGGTGCTGCTGCGGCTACGGTGCTGCTGCGGCTACGGTGCGGCTACGGTGCTGCTGCGGCTACGGTACGGTGCTGCTGCGTGCTGCGGCTACGGTGCTGCTGCGTGCTGCGGCTACGGTGCTGCGGCTACGGTGCTGCTGCTGCTGCGGCTACGGTGCTTCGACTACCGACTACAGTGCGGCGGTGCGGCGACCGACTATAGCTACGAGTACACAATAATGCTAATAATAAATAGACTTAAAAGTGTTCGGGTATCGTGTGTGTTTTGACTTTAAATGTTGAATGACCTTTTTCCGACTACATGTTTCACGGTGTTTGGAAAAAAATGTATTTCGACTGTAAAATGTAGTTTGACAAAGTTCTTCGACTAATTAACTTTTGGCATAAATGTGATAATATTTTTAGTTGGCCATTGAATCAAATATTCGACTTAAGTGTTTCAAAGTTTTAACTAATGTGTGCTTGGAAAAACAAAAAGTGTTTCAATTCACTACTGAAAAAGTATTTTCATTTAGTAATTTACGTGTGTGTTTTTAGACGTAAGGTGTTCGACTGAAAAGTGCTTCAAGTATTGGAAAGCATTGTAAGAACTAACCTCGAGGAAATTGCAGTTCATGTTGGGGGCGTAAAACTTTTTGCTCTAAGTAGAGAAAATTGCTGTTGGCTTGAAAGCTCGGTCCTCAACTCCTCATCAGTATATATATGATTCCTTGCCAAAAGAATTTAGTTTAATTAAATAACGAAATTAAATTTGCAAAAGGAATTTCATTTGCCAAAAGAAGTTTAGCATGACTATATAATCAAAGAAATAATAACGAAAATATGAACCTCATACACCGTCGTCTAAAAACATATTGTCACCCTAATTCTTCAACTTTGAAATCCAGAAGTTTTAAACGAAACATCAACAAGAATAGCAGAGCAATTCGAATTACAGAGAGAGAAAAAAAACCAATTTTTTAAAAATAATCGTGAAATTAAATATAAAAGAGGGCTAATAATCATAATAAACAGAGAGTAAAAACAAAAACAAAAAGAAATCAAATGAGAAATCTTTTTTGCAGTTGTAGAAAGACTGGAAAATAAAAATAAAAAATGACCAAAGCGACTTACCGCTTACGTACGGTTGGCTGAATTCTGTCACCAGAGATGAATAGAGAGACGAGAAGAGACAAGACTCAGTTTCTTAAGTTTTACATGTTTGGATTTAGATTTATAGCGAAACAAAGACTGTCTTTATTATATATACTAGATGTTAACCCGCGGTACACCGCGGGTCTATATTTTTATTAGAAAAATTTATTAAATTTTGTTTTAAGATACTCTATAGATATATACTATTTTTTTGTTTAATTTAAATGTATAATACACCGTGAGACGAAATTTTATTACAAAAATTGAAATTTTATAGATAGACGTAGTATAAAAACAATAGATTCAATTGTATGATTTTGAATAAGATGCTGATTTAACCCGTCTTATACTGATTTTACCCGCGGTATACCGTATGCTAAATTTTAAATAATAAAATGAGGATTTAATATGTGTTATAGCGATATATTAGTGATATTTTAATTTTATATTAATATCAATCCTAACCAAACCTGTGTCATACAATTCGTCCCGTAATATTTAAAACTATTTTATAAAAACTCAAAAACCATAGCTAAATGGGCAAACAAAAGCCAAAAAATTTAAATATATCAATTAGAAATTTTTGAATTTAATTAGAAAAGATTGCTCCATAATTTTAAATCTTACGTATTTAATGTATTTATGAAGATTTGATATTTGAATTTATTTGAGAACATTACTTATTTTTAGCAATTTCAGAAAAAGACATGGGTTAAAGCTTGAACTGATCCGATAATTAAGGTCTGAATTAATAGTTTTGCACCGGCTTTGTTATTTTATTTGTATTTTCTAATTATTTTATCACTATTCAAACCTTAATGATCCATGTGATTAACACTAACCTATTATTGTTATATAATCACAAATATTAAAAATAATATGTTTAGAACTGCCATGAAAAAAAAATTAAGTATGCAACTTTCATTAGTTCACATAATGAAAAAATAAACACATAGAGTATTAGAACCCAATAACAAAGAATCATGTCTACCAATTTTGTAAAGACCTACAGAGCCCAAATTGTGTTTATTCAACTCTCTCATATACCCAAAATGAAAAACTTAGAAACGGAAAGTTCAAACTCAATCATCGGTGGTTTAGCAGATGAAGTCACCGTCGTTAACGGTCACAGTAACGGCTCCGTCGATCTGAGCCTTGTTTCTTCAAAGCTACAGCAAAACGCATGGATCTACTCTCCGTGTAGCGTATCAAGGAGTTCTCGGCGTGTATTTTGAAGCTACCACCGGAAAAGCATATCCGAAATCTGAAGATATTCGGTGTGATCAATTCGATGTTGCGTTTCAGGCGGTGGAGCTTTGGATCGCCGATCGTCTTGTTTTGCCAATCGAAACCTAAAGAATTACGATCTCCTCCTCGTCACCATCTTCACATCGTCGGCGAGGTTTAGATCCCGGTTCACCACTGTCTCCTAGCTCTTCCCGGAGTCCGTACAGATTGCATCACGTCTGCGATTTCTCATTTTCTGTAAAACTGGTGAGTTTTTATTAGACTAATGAAAGGTATTTATAATGTTTTGAGAATACTATAGGGTTTTGGGTGAGTGAGCTCCTAAAATCTTGCTGATCAAGTAACAATATCTTCAAAATCTTTTATTTTTGGAATTGAGTAATTTTCTTGCAAATCTCGGAAAAAAAAAAGAAATATAGGAAAGATAATTATGAGTAATTAGTTGGGATGACAGCCAATGGTAGAGATTTTAGAAGGAAAGCGAGAGATTTTTGGCAACAATTTTTGAACGTGACATCTTTGATTTAGGAGAGATTTTTGGAATATGCTTATACCGAAATATATGTGTACTTATCTACATTAATGACGATTTTTTTTAGATTTCCTTAAATGTCTTATCCAAGATCCGGATGTAGTAAAACCGAGTAAAACCCGGATCCAAATTATTAAAAGCAAAAACCCCCTGCAAAAATATATATATAGATTGTTATTTTTAGGCCTGGGCAAAAAAACCGCTAACCAAATAACCGACCGAACCGAACCGAAAAAAACTGAACCATATCCGAACCGAAGTTTTTAAAATAACCGAATGGTTTGTAAAATCCCCTATCCAAACTAACCAAAACCGAACCGAACCGAACCGATAACCAAACGGTTAACCGAAATATCCAAAAACCTATAAGATACCCAAAAATAATTTCCAAAACTATAATTATAAACTCAAAATATTAATTATTTTTAGAATCAAAATAATCAAATACTTTAAATAATCAAAATATTCAAATATTGTTTGTTATATTTGTCAAAGTTAAATACTCTTTTACAAAATTGAATCAAATTTTAATATTTTTTTCTAATACTTTCTTTTTTTGTATTTTCTTTTTGTATTTTTTTGGTTAATTTTGGTTAGTTTCGGTTAGTTACGGTAAATTTTGGTTAATTTGGGTAAAAACCCGAACCAAACCGAACGTGATAAAAGTTTGGTTAGTTACGGTTATCTATTTAAATATCCAAACCAAACCGAACCGAAAGGTAACCGAACCGAACCGAACCGAAATTCTTAAAATATCCGAATGGTTATTATATTATCATATCCAAACTAACCGAAACCGAATGGTTAACCGAATGCCCAGGCCTAGTTATTTTGATTTTAAATTTATTACAATTTAAATGGGTAATTGCCTATATTTAATCTGTTATTGTAAAAGAAAAATGACATAGCTTATTATTAGAATATTAAACAAATTTATTAACATAATATATATATATATATATATACTGTTAAAAAAATAAATACGTTATATTGTTAAAATCTGGACATTTATTATGAGCATAAATATGAAAACGATTTTCCATTAAAATCGGCTATTTATTAGGGTCATTAATATGAAAGATATTAAGACAACATAGCTTCATTTATTAGTTTGAAATTAAGACAACATCCCTTAAATTGCTAATCCAAGATCCGAATAGACTAAAACCCGGGTCAAACCCGGATCCAAAAGAATTAAAGCAAAAAAGTACTATAAAAATGTATATGTAGATAGACAAGTTTTTTTCTCGACCGTTGGAGAAAAATCAGTAACGGCTAGTTCCTGAATTCGGAAGTAAGTCAGCTTGACGTCAGAAGTTACCGTTATGAAGTCCTCAACGGCTAACTCACAGTAAGTCGTATTCTTGCTGGGCTGTCGAGATCGGCCCAACCCATGAAATTTTATAACTTTTTACAAGTCCTATATAAGATAAACAAACTTTTAATGGATAAATATTGGATTTGATTAAGACCCATTATAAATCCATAACAGTGTTGAAACTTGAAACGTTTGTAACAAATACATTTATCGTATCAACTATCAAACGTCTGTAAGAAACAAATTCAAGTAAAAGAGTTGTCTACAAATTCAAACAACTATAATCATCTTTATAAAAAAAAATTAAAACTTTTATAAAACTTTTTAAATCTTTAAAACATTTAAAACCTTTTTACACAGTGTTGGATAGCCGGCCCCGACCCAACATAAATTAAGGTTCTAGAGGGAAAATAACTTTTGGAACTTTTAATACGTAAAAAAGTTTTTGGATATTTTTCTGATTTTTTGTTCAAATTTACACTCTTTTACAAGTAAAATTTGATCTATTCAAAAGTTCTTTTTGAAGATATGAGCCCTTTTGTATAAAAATATTATTTAGAAGAAAAAGATTTAAGTATTTCTAAAATATTTCTTGGCCTTGTTATAAATGATTTTCAGACATTTTTTTATTCAGCAATTTTCGGGCCATTTTTTGTCTTTTGAACATTGGGTTCTTTCTTGTATAAAAAAACTGTCAATTGGATACGAGTTTTGGTTCATCGTACTCCTGCCCTAATCGTTTGGGATCAAGTTTGTGTATAATAGTCACGCTATCGAAAAGATATTGCATTTCAGGTCACATCTTTTCTTGAATGCATGCACAAGGCCGGCCCAATGGATTACTAGTCCCAGTACAAATACTTAATTTTAGGCCTTTTTCATACTAAAACTTTTTATTTTGGCCCTCAAATTTAGTCAAATTTATTCTTTTGGTCCTCAGTTTTAGTCAAAAAAATTTTTGTACCCTGTGCATTTGCACCACTTGCACATGCCAATAACTGGTCATGTGCATGCATGTGTACATGTACACTATACATTAATTAATCTTTATACTTCAGCAACATGCATGCGCTAAGAAGTGCAACAAACTTAGATGACATGACCCAAACTATTTTCATGCCTAAAGCAAAAAAAAATTTTGAACCCACAAAGAAACAAATATGGAAGAAAAATCCAAAAAAAATAGCAAAGATCATGAGCCTCGAACTTTGCATCTCACCAAGATCAATGCAATGCAAGTTTACCAAAGTCGGCTTTTTCATATTCACACAATTGCACTATGTTGAATTTATATCTAAATTATATTAATTATTATGCTAGAACATACTTCGAGTAATAAAACATTTGAATTCCATACATGCATACGTCTTAAATATCGACTATGTGGAATCCACGTATGCACCTACGTGGATTTGTTTTATGCGAATTTGTGGGGAAATTAGTTTTTTCGTATCTCCACAACTGCAATATTTTCGAACTCTACTATTATGCTAAAAACATACCCTAAATTAAATAATCAAACATTTAAATTCCATACAAATTTATTTCATCATTCAGTTTGGTTTTGGTTTCGGTTCGGTCTTATCGGATTCATGTTTCAAATCTCAGAACCTATGAAACGGAATCGTTTTAGCTTGTGATTTGGAGTGTTGTTTTTAATCCAAAACACGAAATATATGTATGAAATTTAAATTTTTATTATTAATTTAAAGTATGTTTTAGCAAAATAGAATATAATTCAAGTATGAATTTCACATATTGTTGTTATAGAGGTATGAAAAAGCCAATTTCATGAGCTTTAGCTACAGGTAGGGCCTTCTTTATATGGATTCAGACCTCCTCTCCGTACCCTCTCAATATCCTCCCAATCTTCAAGCAAGCGGTGGTCTGCAAGATATTGAAGTAGCCCGATTGCATTGAGCTACCCGAATCTCAATATGTTTTTTTGAAAAGTATTGAGGATATATAATGACGATATCATTAAGGAAATGCGTATTGGCGAGAGGTGAAAAGAGGGCACGTATAATATTCCACTAAATGAAACCACTTTTATATGAATAGAGAGTGCATGAGTTTTCTTATAAGTCATCATTATGATCAGCTTTAATAAATTTGTTAGTGCTTATAGAAGACTATATATGTTGCAAGGAGTCTGGACACGTAGGTCTTCGAGATTTAATAGTGTAGGGTGGTGGGTTTTCATCTTTTCCAGAAACCCGTGATTAAAGGACACGTGTGTGCGCTTGTTAATGGGCTTTTTGGCTATAAATAGAATTTATCGCCAAGTATATATAATCAAATAGCTAGCTAGTACTGATGAGTCTTTATTATTTAGGAATCTATCTCTTGATCTGAGTGAGCTGTGTGAGTATGTATATGAAATAATAGAGACAGAGAAAGTGTAACTATGGGGAAGTACGTGAGAAGGGGCAGGGTAGTGGCGTGTGTGATGGTGTTACTGATGTCGACTCAAGTTTTGGGAATATTATCTGGTACGGATGGTCATGATAGTGGCAAAAACCGACGTCAAAAACATGGAGGACACGGTGATGGTGTTGGTGCCGGTGGAGGTGGAGGTGTAGGTTCTGGAGGTGGTATAGCCTATACCGTGCCAAAGTCAATGGCGGTTGGAGGCGGTAAAAGTAAATTGCCTCAATTTTTATAATAAACATAGATGCTAAAATAATTTTTTGGCTATAAAGATGAATATTATTATATGACCAAAGTATATAAATAACTAAACAGAAAATTTCTTCTTTTCTTTGCCAATTTTTTTCCAAAATCAAGTTTTTTTTTTTTTTTCCTGTCCAAAATCAAGTTTTCTAACATATTTTTTTTACTATATATAAGATAGATAAGTCAATGAATTTTCATATATTTGAGTGACGTTTGAAAAAAAAATTTAACTGAAATTATTAATAATCTAGATAAGCTAACCATGAGTTAGTATTAGAATATGGGCTTCCAACTCAAAACCAATTGACAATGAGTGGAGTGGCCAATATCCCTTATATATTACTTAGGATCCCTTCCAACTTTCGATGTGGGACATTATGTCCTAATACGCCCCCTCGAGATGATAGCTCTTTGGCCATTAATCTCGAAATGTTCGGGTTTAGATCGACGGCATCAATTTTGGGCCTTGTCGATGATTGGACCATCTTTGGGTCGGATCGGGTTGGACATGTGTGGATCGAGCTCTGATACCATATTAGAATATGGGCTTCCAACTCAAAACCAATTGGCAATGAGTGGAGTGGCCCATATCCCTTATATATTACTTAGGATCCCTTCCAACTTCCGATGTGGGACATTATGTCCTAATAGTTAGGATCACTGTCTTCAACTTTTTTCAAAAAATGTAACGTTTTCTAGGGTTTCTAACAACATAAGAGGGTTGACCATCATTAACAGGGGTTCTTAACTTTATCTCTTAACATTGTTTAATATTAAAATTTTGGTTTCTGTAAGGTAAGAGTCAAATCTTAACTCTTAACACTCCCAAAAGCTCTTAGCTAAGAGTCAAATCTTAGTATTTTAATTTGTTTTGATTTATTTTTCAATGTTTGATTCTAAGATTAAAAAGTTAAGAACCATCTAAGAAACCACCAATAATGGTGCTCTAGCATGATTATTGGTAGTATCTTACAAATACCTCTTAGCAATATTTAAGTAATATATTTGTAAAAGTGATAGCTAAGAAATAGTTTTTTTGTGTTAAGATTTTTGTATGATTAATGGTAGGCTCTTAATATATGGTTCTTAGATAAAAAATATTAATATAAAAATAAAATTTATAATTATAAAAACTTAATAATTGTTGCAAATTAAAAAAATTAAAACATATATGAGATACAATTTATAACATAAATAACATAAAGCACAAATGTTTTAAACTTAATTTATGGAATATTTTGTCCATATATACTCGACCAAATCGGCGTCTAAATAGATTAGGAGGGAAAGTTGGATTTTCTGCGAAATAGTCGTTCCATAAATGGATGTGTCCTTCTTTTGTTTGTTTTTTTTAACAAATCACAATGTGACACCTTGCAACATCTTAAGTTAAGAAAAACATCTTAACTTAGATACAAATCTTAGTTTTAAGATGTTGGTTTGATTATTTTTAATCAACTTTAATCCTAAAATTTGTTTAAAGATACTTAACATTTCAACCAATATTCATGCTCTTATTACCCTAATTTTATAATGATTTTCTCTGTTTTAGTTTAATTTCCTTCTTTAACGTTTTTAATTAACATAATTTTTGTTGCCTTAAAAGATACACGTAAGTAACGTAGTTAATACTACGCCTACACAACAAATTAAAACAAAAGACGGGATAAATCTTGTTAAAAATATTTCTCTTAAGTAGTTCTAATAGTTTTAGGCCAATGTTTATTTCTTATAACGTGCGACACGGCTGTGTAGGAGTCGATGGTGGTGCTAGCGGTGGCATTGGAGTTGGATGTGGAATTGGCGGAGGGGGAGGTATAGGCGGTGGTGGTGGTGACGGAGGTACAGGTGGTGGAAGTGGAATTGGCGGACGAGGAGGGATAGGCGGCGGTGGTGGTGACGGAGGTGCAGGTGGAGGAAGTGGAGCCGGAGGAAGAGCTGGTGGTG